AAATATGCGGTACCGTTTTCCACTGCTGCGCGGAGATAACCATGACCACCGTTGTAAACACTTTACAGATTCAGGGGCGAGCTACTAGTATTCAGAATTTTGCAAATCGGGTTAAATTGACTGCACCTTACAAATTTAACGTTTCCTTTTTAATTAATGTATGTATTTAATAAGGCTAATCTATTTAATAAAATTATGTTTTTACTATAAAAATTCTAGGGGGGCGACGCCCCAGTGCCCCCCGCACCAGCCGCCGCTGCCTAAGCTGATCGAAAAACAGTGCAGCGTCTAGGTGTCAATGACTCGTTATCCTTGAAGTGTGTTTTTCTATTCTGCTTGACTTAATTATATAATATAAAATAGGCGTGGAATGTTCTCTCTACCACATTATATTTGCAAATAATGGTCTCTGACGCTTCTTGGACGCCTACGTTTAGAAATTTGTTTTTGCTCTATCGAGTGTTTGTGAGGAGAATTATGTTACTATATACGTGGGTTATTTACTTATTTTTTCGAGGTGTTTGAACGACATTGGATTATTTTCCTTGTACTTCAACAAAAAGTATAGTTGGAATGTTTGAACACATTTTATATGCCACCATACTTTTAAAATATTATGTAGCGCTATAGAAATAAAGTTTTTTATCAATTTTTCAAAAACCGTTTGAAAAATTGTTAGTATTTTACAATTCTAGAAACGTAATACTCATTTCAACCGCCAATAATGACACTTACTCCGACTGCTCGAAAGTCTTCTGAAAGAGACCAATGGACGTTTCGTTATTTTGCGTAGAACTAACCGTATTCCCGTGAGAGTGTGGTGTACACGTAAGCGATTTATGCCTCTCTAGGAGTACAAAGTACAATAACTATCTGTGGATTACGTCTCAGGTAGGGAACAACGTTTAATATAATAGTAGACCAGTACGACATCACGCTTACTAGGTTGTGAGATAAACTGGAAAATTCGACATTTTAATAATCTGGCGTTATAAATTGGTGTATAATTGTTTTAGAACTGTAGCAGGTAGCAATAGATCACATTAATATCTTTAAAAATTCACGTTTACCTATTTACAATAAAAAACTTCCATGAAATCATTCTTTAAAGTTTTGGTTTTATAAAATGTAAGAGAAACATAAATATAAAAATACGTATAAATGTTTAATGTTTGGGGCATATTTTAAATAAAATTTTATTGAGGATCTTTATTCAAACATTTTTTTACATAAACGGTTCACTTTTCGTTCTACACGAAGTGACTCTACCGACCGAATTAACTGGATCACAGTTTCCGAACACTTCTGTTCTGAGTAGAATAGAACACAAACAAATCTGATATACATTTTCATTAAAAGAAACCTCAAACAAATATTTTCAATTCGTTTGTGCGATTTAATATCTAAAATGTATAGAAGTAGGAGATATGATTCTAATATTTATTTTATTGCAAATATTATTATTAAATTTTGTTATTATTTTTGCATGAAACGATTGTGCTTCAGTGGCTTCTGGCCGATGTTTTTATATTGGTCGAATCAAATAACGTTACCCAATCAGTCCACAGGTTTTGTTTTTGTCACGTGACGAGCGATCCCAGCCCCAGCGCTAGTTTTTCTTGTTTTGTAGTAGGTATGTACTGCAAATGCAGATGTGTTTATAGTATAGATATTGTAGAAGATTTTTCAATAACGTGGTTGTATTTAGCATTATTTTCGATAATTAGTGTATACGTGTGACGTGTGTACTGTTGTGTCGTGTGGTGTAACGTAACTAAATAAGTGAATTATTAACCAAAACATAAGAGTTGGAGTCTGCACCCTATTTCAAAGTAAGTCAAACTTTTATGTACCTAAGGACACATTCATGGTAAATGATATTTCAATGAATGCATATAGCAGTTATTTATTAAATATGCTTTCATTTAATGATTTAATTATCTAATAGATTTTTACTGAAACAGGTGTTATTAAGCATATTAAAGAGTTCACTAATAATGATTCTAACCTCACTTATATCATCTTCCAAATTCACTAAATCTGAATAGATGTTTGTTTTATGAAACGGTTTCATAATTTTTGTATTACGTGTGCATGTCTTTTATTAAAGAAACTCGGGGTGAAAGCATCTAGATAATTTAGATAATTTTTTTAAATATATATTTTAATAATGTCCTTATCCTAACCTACCTCAATTTTTTTTTGCCAGTAGCTTTAGTATTTAATGTTGATCTTAAGATATATACCTACTTAAGTATCTTCTGAAAAGCTAAATCTTTTAAAATATTCAAACTTTTGATCAGTTAACATAGAAAGAAAAAGCTCCTTAGCAGCCTTTCATCGATAATTTTAGTGGGGGACAGTGTCGTATTTAAGTTTTTATGGGCCCCAGATAAAAAAAATGTACCACAATGTTTGCGCTTAAAAATATCAATTTGAAACTGTTCAAACACGGCAGATTTCTCAGTTTAGCCTCCATCAATCCGTGAGATTTTGATATTACCACCTGGGCTAAAGATTCGCCTACCTCTCCACCGCTGCCCGTGAGTCTGCGGCGGATCAATGCCATTGGTCATCATGGCGTAACGTTACGACGAGGAAGTGAACACAGCACTCGGCACAGCATGGTCCAACGTCACAATTCAACAACTCACTCGGGTTATTTTTTCTTTTTTTAGGATTCGCTCGCCGGAAAGGCGATAAACCGTGGCTCTGGCTCGGTGGCTGATAAGGTTCGCCACAGAATAAATACTGCGGTTTCTTTGAGAAAAAGGCCCAGATCCTTGACGATATACAATATGGTTTTCAAAGACTCTGCTGGGAGGGTTTCTGATTCTGAGGGTACTTATTGCAGAGCCGAATTTATAGTCAGGGATCCCTTTAGGGAATCGTCAAGGATCCTTACAATTTAAGAAAAAAAAAAGATAGCAAAATGAGAACTTCAGGCATTTGATGTATCTGGTTTTTATCAGGATTTTGCATCAGGCTAACAGAGAAGACGTAATAAAAATCCGTGTATCTTTTCTTTTATTTAATTAATTACACCGATTAAATTTATAACCCATAAATTAGTTTTGTTTCTGTATCATTAGATTAATCCCAGTTTTTTTTATTGGTTGACTTCATTAAGCCTACGATTCTCAGCCCCCACGGTCCTCATGGAGCAATGAACTTTCTTTGATGTTTCGTCTATAAATAAGCTTGCATATCATTAATAAACATAGCCCATATAGAATTAGTAGAAAACTATTTATAGATATATAGATATTCTTTAATATATTTTTATGTGTTTCTGTGAAGTTATTATCGAATTAACATAAACGAGGTGATCCCCCATTACGACTTAAACAGCTTCAGGCTGAAATACTTGTATTTCCAATTCGTTGTGTTGGAATCCAACTTTCATAGATTACAATTAGATTGTACCTATTCATATTTATAAACAGTACCTAATATTACTTGGTTTTTATGTTTTTGACGAATACAATTTATTACACAAAAGTATTCACATAACACTACTCCCATTATCTGTTTTGGCCTTCTATCTAGAAATAAATGATAAAGACTGAAGTTTTAGAAAACTTGCAAACTCGGAATCTCAGTTCTGGGGAGATAAACCACGTTTTGTGTTTCTGTCAAATAGAACACTCTGTATTTATAGTTTTTTAATCACCTTTTTCTAATTACTGTAGTATATGCATATCGTATGTTTGTTGTGACAGTTTGCTCAATATTTTGGACTCTAAAACTTACTGGACTTTGCGGATTTGAAATCATAGCAGATTCTGTCTGTATCGAGTTTGTTTAAATCCGAAAGATCGGTTCTGAAAGTTTGTACAAGGTTAATCACTATAATCTAACAACTTATTGTGAGTTTATTATTGAAATTAGGTACAAAAAACTATTTAATACAAAAGTTTTAGCTTTTTTTATGAATTTTTATAATACAGTATTAAAAAAATCTCGAATAAAACAGTTGAATAATGGAAATCACTAAATTAAAGAAAACAGTTTTTTTTAATGGAACACATATTAGTGCATACTTAGCTTCGTTAGATTTTTTTCTTTTGAAAAATATATAATATGTTACTGTTTGATTCAGCACTTTTCGACATATTTCAGTTTAAAACTATTTTTGAAAAAACAGGAAGGAAGTTTATTTATCACCATTTAGCCGTTTATTTTATGATAATAATAAAAATCATTCTTAACTTTAACAAGTCTTAACTTTAACAGAATTTTAATACCTAATTAATAAAAACCAACAAAAACAGAAATGGTCACAGATGCTCAATGTGACCGCCATTATTATTGATGCACTTTGTATAATCTCAGAACTGCATTTAGTATGAAATGGGAATTAAATTCACTTAAATTTTGTATACATTGATCAACTTTGTCTTAGTTCATCTAACTTTACACTAGTTTCCTTATAAACCTCGTTTTTTAATTAACCCCACAGAAAACTGTTAAGGGTGATTTGAAGGCCATTGAATATTTCCTCCATTACCAATCCACAAATCAAACCTATTATTTAAATAATTTCGTACGACTCTGGTTCTATGCGGAGGCATAGGGTGCCAAATTAAATTGGTATAGTCGATCAGCGGCAGGCCTTTCAATTTGTTTTCTATTTGATTTTCAAGAAAATGCAGGTATCTTTCCCCAGTCAAAGCACCTTCATAAAATAGTGGGCCAATGACTTTATTTCTCAATATACCGCACCAAACTTTAAACGATGTGCGTCCTTGACTTTGAATTTCCCTGTTACAATGAGGATTTTCATTTGCCCAGGTATAAGTATTTTTTTCTATTATAAATGTCAGCTGTTGTAAAAGTCGCCTCATCAGTCGATAAAATCTTTTCAAAATAGTTTAGGTCGCCATTTATCAAGCACAGCATTTATGTGCAGTACTTACTCTAGTTGCTGAGTTTTTTTATTTTGGGTGAGTTTTTGGACCGGCATAGTTTTATAGGGGCGGTATTTATATTTATGCAACGTTCTAATAATAATTTTACTTTGGCTTATTTCTAACTGTCTTGAAACATTTACTGTGGACTCTTGTGGCCTTTCTACAATAATTTAATATTTGAATTTAAGCCATGGTAAACCTCGAATGAATATTTGCTTACCTTGAAAATATAGTAATATAGTTAGTTCTAAATCTTCATTTGGAATAATTCTTCGTTTCTGTCTTCCAAGAGATTTTATTTCCCTGAAGCGTCGCTCAATGTCGTAAAATGCAGCTCGAGATGGAATTGGAAACCCCAGATGTAAACGAACATACTCAGTAAACATTATTTCTTTGTAAAATAGTTTGTTATAGGAAATAAATTAATGATGATAAATAAACTGTCAAAGTCGTTTGTTTGTTTCTCGTGCCTCGTCCATAGCCACTGCGATCCGTCAGACATAAATTTCCCTTCTGTTTTTTTTCAAAAATAGTTTTAAACTGAAATATGTCGAAAAGTCCCAAATCAAACAGTAACATATTATATATTTTTGAAAAGAGAAAAATTTAACGAAGCTAAGTATGCACTAATATAAAAAACTTTTATATTAAAAATTTTGTTGTAATTTCAATAATAAGCTCAAATAAGTTGTCAGACTATAGTGACTAACCTTATACAATATCGGGAATTTCCCATTTTAACTCATTTGAGAAATCAGTTTCTACTTCCGCTTAATTGTAATGTTGGAAGTAATCTACGCAATCTCAAGACAGTTTTATTCTCTTCCTCCTTCGTTTTAGTGTTTTCACGAACTTTCAGTTGTACCGTTATCCAATGGTAATGATCATCAAAGCCACAGAGACCGCACTATGGGTTATGCTCGAAGCAATGACTGAAACCATCAATTTACTTAATTATTAACTGGATGAAGGCATCCAGGGTTCTGACAGCGGATTATAAGGAGGAACATTAACATAGTGCATTCTATTTTTGATATCGGGATGTCCTAATCACCGTTTCGATCATGAAACAGAATTACATTATAAATTCAGTTTCATAATTAAAATAGATTAATTTTAAGGATTCGGTTAAACAGTTATGGTGAGTTGTATGGGCCGCGAATTGAAAATCGTCAGTAATAGAAGTTAGGGTGGCCCAAAAAAAAAACGAATATCAGTTTCAAAAAGTAATTTGTACAAACGGCGCTCTTAGCGTTGCTTTGTTTTACTAAGTTTTATTAAAAATGACAACAAAACCAATTATTATTCATTTTGATAACAAAAATATGACTTTACTATACCAGTTCCTAATATCGGGGCGTTTGATGATTCTGCTTAACGGGACCGCAGTTAACTGACCTATGGTATTACGAAATTAGTTAAACGAGCACCATTAAACTGATGCAAAAACGAGGAATTTTCTGTTGGATAATTATTGGTTATTCCTCGTTTGCTTGCGCAAAATCCGTACAAAATGCTAGCTTTGGCAGATAATTGGAAAAGTAACGTTTAGTTATTCGGATATATCTTGGATTTCTGTTGAGGTTCTTTCCATGATATCTGCGGATTGCGAAAGGTGAACACCCACCAATTTAAGATTTTGTTGGTCGGCATGTGGGCATATCGAGATCTTGGTAATGCTAGTACGGGTTGGAAATGTTCGCCCAGACCCACAGTACAGTCACGTTTTTAAATAACACGGACTCTTATACATATTCAACGACTGTTGGTGAAGGGCGATGGGATGGTAGCTGGTAGGTCGAATAAGAGACGTATATCGAGTGTCAACGAAATTACTTACCAGATGATACTGATAGTCATTTTATATTTAACAAGACACACCTATACTTGAATTCTTATTTTGAATGGAACATTCTGTATATTTTCAAAATTATATTAGTTGATATTATAATTTGACTACATTGTAGAAGTCACTAGTTATGCTCCTTCTCAGCGATATTTTAGTTTTGAGGTTAGGTTTCCTATTTTATACAAAGTGTTTGCATACTGTAAGATAATAGTTTAACAGCGATAGAATGCATTAATAATAAACATTTCAGTAATCAAAATCATTAAAACTACAAGACGGTGCTTAAAATTATTAATAGTCAAAATTGTTAAGACTTATTGAGAACCTATTGAATCGCCCCCAGTTACATACTGTATAAACGTGGTAAACATTTGTGGGCTTAAATACCATGTCGTCAGCTTCTCTGTCCCGTTTTGCTAGTTCAATTTCAGGTAAAATATTTCCGAAGTCAGTTGAACATGTATAAAAACGCCTAGCAATAAAATTTAATGGCGTCCCTAAAAAAGTTTTCTGTTAAAGGTAAAAAATAATAATAATTTGTATATAATGTGTATAAAATTTCATTTGACCAAAAACATATTTTAATTATTTATGTCCCCAAACAGTTTTATTATTGTAAAACAATTACATTTTCATTCAAATGTAGTACTACTCGGCATTGCTGCTTTGCACTGCTAGGAAATTTGCCAACAACTTAAATATATGGCCGGTCGCCCAGTGCGGCCGTGTCTGTGCGCCGTTTGCCCGCGCGCGCATTCTTCGACTGGGCGTATACATTTCTACCACCTCCACAACTAGTTCGAACAGACCTGTATATGGGTATTTTTAAATAAATATGGGAACAAGTTTTTCAAATTGTAAAAGGACAGTGTGCCTGTGGTGTTTGTATTATTAAGTACGAAAAACATATTAAAATAGCTCGTCAAAAGAATAACAATGAATTGATGGAGTAAACAAAACAACTAAACTGTAGACCGCAGATTACCGCTAGTATTCGATATTTTAACTATAATTTCCTCGGGATAGTAAAACGCATCGGATTTTTTCGTGTAGATCTTTTTTGTGTTCAAAATTATACTTCTACTTCACAAAGTTATATGACAACAAAGTACAGACCTGGAATGTACGATTTTCTTACGGACCATATTAATTACTTACTTAATTAGTAAAATTTAGCCATAAAATAATTTCGGAGCCGCTCTGTCGCGAAAAGTTCTCGGAAGAATTCAAACAGCCGCTGCCTCAAGTTTCGGCCGTCCGGTGTTCGCGGTTCGATCAACTCGCAGTTGTCGAAACGATTTATTATTCGGAATTTTGAAACGGCCGGTATTTGCATAAGATGCATCAATATTAAAAATTTGGCAGTCATCGGCCCCGGCGTTCACATCATTTCGCTTCTCGTTAGGAATTTCAATGAGGCGCGAGCGATTCTTTATGAATATTTTATTTCTCTCTTTCACTTATCTATTGTCTGTTGAGGACACCGAGATGGAGAGTGTTGTTATAAGCACACACGACTTGTTACGTTTAGCCCGCTATTACGGTATGATTCAGATAATACCCGAGTCAGTTGAGTAGTACCTGTAGTTAATCGTATACAGGGTGAGTCTTAAACGCGTATATACATTTTAAACAGCAGTACGGTTTACTGTGTAGAACTTGTATTAATTAATAGGAGTAAAGAAATTGGAATAGCATAGTTAAATTCAAAATAAATGCATGATTGAAAACTTGTTGAGATGCGCTGACTTTACTGCAGCATTTATGCTTAACGTATATGAGCTGTGCAATGTTGCCTGTCTTTATTGAATTATAAGATTGATTAACACAAAACCAACAACTTACCACAATTTCAGCCAATTTGATCCAGGCCACATTTTCATAAAGACCATGTGGGGACATTGACAATGACCGTAAAGTTAGGGAATATGCAGCTCTTACAAAACCGGTCTCAACATTATAGTGTTGATATTAAATAGTAACGTTAAATATGAAAATTAACAAAATGCGAAAAAATTGAAGGTATCCTACAAAGTTTAGAGTTCATAGAAGGCTCCATTATCAGTTGAATGATATATATGACATTTATGTAACATTTTTTTTAAGTACACTAATGCAAAAAATTAAAGGGTCAAAAGGATTTCCGAATTTTCCCCGTGATTTTTGACAGACTGTATTTAGGTGAAAAATGGTCGTATTGGGAATTAAAAAAAGCGTTTTAAAGCTCTAGGATTCTAGTTTTTAGATCTTTCGGTCGAAATTTTTTAGGAGCTTCGGTTATCATGCAATTCTAATAGATAGCGCGACAAAAAAATATTATTATTTTTTTTTCGTGTAAAGGATAAAAAAAATTCAAGGTGTAGCAGCATGTTATAGGAAATTTATTCAAGTTTTCGAAGCTACCCTTCAATTCTCTTGACGACCATTAATTCGTAGCCGAGATATCGATGATTGAAGACAAAAGGATATTTCGATGAAAAAGGGTCGCATCGAAATAAAAAAAAAGAAATTGAAGCTGAATAAATAATATAATATAATAAATAATTTTGATTTAAAATATCAAAGCGTGAACGGAGGGGAGGGGGTTGCAGTATCCATAGACCCCCCTATTTTTTTAAAGTACGCCTATGCTTTCCAAATTTAATTTTGACACCCCCTATTTTGAAAATGGAAGTGACATAAGAAGAGTCCTATCATTTTAGTCCAAAGAATATGTGGTTAACGGGCTGACCTATTCATTTGTAACACCCTGTATATAGCGAGTTATATTTGATAAAATATAAATTCATCTTATAACTGAAAAACTGGTTTCTACGCAAAACGCTATATGTAAACGCATTATGATAATGTTTAACTGGTGCACTGTTTCAGAAAATTATTTTATTTTCAAAATTAGAGGATGTCATTATTATAAATGACTTTATGAACAATAGTTATGTATGGTAGGTAAGTTCTTTGCAATATATAATTTTTATTCATCGTTTCTGAATTGATTCTAATTTATGCAGATAGATATTTAAAATACCGCCCACTCAAAATCCGTATGTGATTCTACCAGACCGGTATATACAGTGTCGGAAAGTCCCCATGGTTCATCGGCCGTTACGTGAGAGCAATAAAGTAAGTCATAGAAATCCGTGCGATAGAGAAAGATGGCTATAATGAAGGCGTCTAATAGTCACCACCCATTTCGCCCTTCCACAAATAAGAAGTGGATCTTATTTGTGGAATCCTTTTTATG